ATGCTGGCAGTGGTTTGTAATGCAGGTTGCAGACCTCCACTGTCATCCTTGGGTACAAGCTCGTTCATACTTTAAATCACAAGGTCTCTGTTCTGAGGATAGGTGATTAGGGGCTCCATAAGCTGTGCTGCTCATGGGACACAGGCCCTGCCTAGCCAGCCTGGGCCCAGCTATGCACTCTTCAGATCCCATGTGGCTTGCAGGTTGGCCCCAGTTGAGCATCTTTCAAAAAGTTATTAGTAATGTTAGTAATTTTCAAGACAATTTTCTTTCTTATTATCTGCTATTTTCCCAAGTGGAAAGTCTACAATTTAAACCCTCTTCTGAAAATTACTTAAATACCTGTGAAATGTTTTTCCTTCTCTGATAAAGCTACTTAAAGCTTCCTGTTTAGAAACAGGAAGGCCACACATGCCCAGAGCACAGACACTAGCACGTGAGAGACATGGGAATATATGTGAGACCCCATAGGAATGATACTGCTGTGAACACGCTCAGTCAGAGGACAGGAAGACAAACCCAGAGCTATCAGAGCCCAGAAGAACTAAAGATCCTCTTCTGTTCAAGGTCTCCACCATAGGACTAGGGTGCCCCAAATGAAAAGGACTCCCCAAAACCTTTGTTTGCATTGGCCGAGGCAATAATTCCCTAACAGTCCACTGACTTCATGCACTATGTTCACAAAGACACAGCAAGCACAGCCAGGCAGGACCTCCATCTCCACAGCAGAGAAGGACCTTGGTGAGGCTTTGAACAGATGAGAGGCTCACACAAACTAAGAGCAAGTCACGGGCTGTTCTGTGCCCTTGTCATCAGCATTTCAGTGTTAATTAGTCTATGAACTGTTTTACTAAGTATAATGGAAATGCATACTCATAAAAATTTCGGAAATAATGTAGGGGGAAAAATCAACCACAATTCTATTTCTTTTTTTTTTTTTTTTTTTGAGATGGAGCCTCAAGCTATCCCCCTGGGTAGAGTGCCATGGCATCACGCTCACAGCAACCTCCAACTCCTGGGCTCAAGTGAGTCTCCTGCCTCCGCCTCCCAAGTAGCTGGGACTACAGGCGCCCGCCACAACGCCTGGCCATTTTTGGTTGCAGCCATCATTGTTGTTTGGCGGGCCCGGGCTGGGGATTTGAACCCGCCACCTTAGGTGTATGTGGCTGGCGCCTAAGCCACTTGAGCCACAGGCGCCGAGCCCACAATTCTATTTCTCAGAACAACTCTGAGCCTAATAATACTTTTTGCACAGTTCTCTCCAGCTAATCTATTATTTTAAACACAGTTGAGATCCCACTGTGCTGATATTTTTTTTACTAAATTCCAAAACCCTTAGTTTTTCCTCTAATTGAACCACATTTGTAAATAAATGCTTTTTTATAAATGTAAATCAATGACTGACCGCAAACCAATTAGCACATAATAGTCATCTGTGGATTACAGGCAGTTTCTGAATCATGACCAATTTAGGTAGAGAAAGGGCTGTTGCCATTGCTATCTCCACCTGCCAGTGGCCAACACCCCACCCACAAAGGACCCCAGATTTCTCACTGAGTTACTGCAAAGACAAGGTCACCAGGGACTTGTGCCTGTGGAATTTCAACAGCTTACAGAATCATGAGATGAGCAGGACAAGATATTCCACATAAGAGAGAAGGCAAGCACCCCAGCAAAGGGGCGTCTGGAGCCCTTGAAGGTGTCTGCAAATGGAAGAAGTGGGAGCCAAGGCTGCATTCCCTGGTGGGGGAGCGCTTAGAGAAGGGGGTGTGATGCAGGCAGGACACTTATCCCATGAAGGAATGTCTGGCTATGTAAGCCCAAGTGAAGGTTACACTGATGACTCTGACCTCAGGGCTGAGGTAGGAGTCTACAACACTACAACCTTAATATTAGGGACACTGAGCTCACCAAAACTCTAAATTCCCAAATGCCTTATTCTTACACATGTCCATCACTTTTACTGTGTAAAGAGGGAGAAAATGGATTTCAAAACAGCCTTGTGGTATACTGAGGGGAGGAGGTGGTGACCTATGTGCCCCCTGCTGGAACACTTCCTATTGGGAAGTCTGAAGAACTGATGTCAGCACCCTAGGGCTGAAGAGAGCAAGTTTGGGGTTCTTGTAGAGCAAAGGCTTACCCTGGGCCTCTGGGGGCTATGAGTACCCGTTGCCGGGGGGGGG